AAGACTTGCAAATCAACTTGCATTCAACAAATTGGTTATAGGCTGCACAATATTCCCACACAAACGCATACATAAAGCTACATGGATCTCACTGGACCACACCATACAGAACCAGGTAGATCAATTCTGTATCAACTAAAAATTCCGAAGATCAATGGAAGATGTGAGAACGCGGAGAAGAGCTGACATAGCTTCAGATCACCACTTGGATGTGACCAAGATGAGACTGAAGCTAAAGAAAGACTGGACAACTGGACAAACAGCACTACAAAAGTTCAATACAACCTTCCTCCGAGAAACTGACAAGCTCAACGAATTCAAGATAACTTTCAACAACAGGTTCCAAGCTCTACAGGATCTATTGAATGAACAAGAAACTACTTTGGAGGACAACTGAAAAGGTATCAAAGAAACACCAACTTTAACGTTTCAAGAGGTTCTTGGTCCTACGAAACATCATCATAAGGAGTGGATCTCTATGGGAACCCTGGACAAGATTTAAGAAAGGAAGAACAAGAAACTAGCAATTAACAACAGCCGAACACGAGCAGAGAAAGTCAAAGCACAAGGAGACTACGCAGAAGCAAACAGAGAAGTGAAGAAAAGCATTAAAGCCGACAAGCAGAAATACATGGGAGAACTAGCAACGGCGGCGGAAAAAGCTGCAAGATAAGGGAATATGAAACAACTATATGACACAACGAAGAATTTGGCAGGGAGATATAGCAAACCAGAGAGACCAGTCAAAGACAAAGAAGGAAAGACAATCACTGAGATTCAAGAACAGGGGAAAAGATGGGCAGAATACTTTGAGGAACTGCTGAATAGACCGGCCATATTGACTCCACCGGACATCGAAGCAGCCCACACTGATCTTCCTTTATATGTCACTCCAACAACGATTGAAGAAGTCAAGATGGCCATCAGACAAATCAGAAGTGGGTAGGCGACAGGATCTGACAATATACCAGCAGAAGCATTGAAGTCGGACATTGAAATAACTGCAAACATGCTTCACCTTCTATTCAAGAAGATTTGGGAAGTGGAACAAGTGCCAACGGACTGGAAAGAAGGATATCTCATCAACATACCAAAGAAGGGAGATCTGAGAGAGAACTACAGAGGCATCAGTTTGATATCAGTACCAGGAAAAGTTTTCAACAGAGTGCTGCTGAATCGGATGAAAGACGCAGTAGACGCCGAACTTAGGCATCATCAGGCTGGATTCCGTAAGGATCGGTCGTGCACAGACCAGATTGCGACACTACGGATCATCGTTGAACAATCAGTTGAGTGGAACTCATCACTATACGTCAACTTTATTGACTATGAAAAGGCGTTTGACAGCGTGGACAGGAGAACATTGTGGAAACTTCTTCGACACTATGGATTTCCTCAGAAGATCGTCAACATTATCCAAAACTCATACGAAGGACTACAGTGCAAAGTGGTGCATGGAGGACAGCTGACAGATGCATTTCCAGTAAGGACCGGAGTCAGACAAGGCTGTTTACTCTCCCCATTCCTCTTTTTCTTCTGGTGATCGACTAGACTATGAAGAATTCGACATCTGAAGGGAAATACGGAATACAATGGACATCTCAGAATCAATTAGATGATTTGGACTTCGCAGATGACCTAGCCCTCGTCTCTCATACACACGAACAAATGCAGATGAAGACAGCAAATGTAGCAGCAGCCTCTGCATCAATATGCCTTGAAGATACGACGGATATTCTAGTCTTACAACTAGCGACCAGTAGTATCTTCTATATTCGATCGTTCCCGTCCAAAGGAAATCAGAAGTCAGACGAGAAGAGTTAGGAAAGATATACGTTACCAATATATCGAGAGGCTTTCGTTATTAACTGACTTTTGAAACGTAGGAGCTGTGTCTCACGCCGAGTCGCAACGTGATCTGGTACGGATGCATGACCGAAAGCCTTCAGTTAAACAAGTCCACTTAAACACGTGGTCAGCATCCAATGTCGAACACTTAGAAAGCTATTGATTTTGGGAAATTATTTACAGCTACAGACTCATTAATCACAAGGGAAAAAGCAAAATTCTCAAATGCAACACGGAAAAAACACACCCCATTCACACTTGATGGCGAAACTTTGGAAGAGTTGGAAACATTCACGTAACTGGAAAGCATCGTTGATAAACAAGGAGTAACGGATGCAGACGTAAAGGAGAGAATTAACAAAGCAAGGGCAGCATTTCTACAATTGAAGAACAGATGGAACTCAAAACAATTGTCATTTAATTTCAAATTGACAATCTTCAATACGAACGTCAAGACAGTCCTACTGTATGGAGCTGAAACGTGGAGAACTACCACATCCATCGTCAAGAAGGTACAAGTATTTATAAACAGTTATTTACTCAAAATACTCAACATTCACTGACCGGATACTATCAGCAACAGCGTTTTATGTGAGAGGACAAACCAGCTTTCAGCTGAAGAAGAAATTAGGAAAACACGTTGGAAGTGGATAGGACACACATTGAGAAAATCACTAAACTGCATCCTGAGGCAAGCCATAACGTGGAATCCTGAAGGGATACGGAAATGAGGAATTTCAATGATTATACTGCGTTGAGAACTGGAAACAGATATGAAAATAATGAATGGTAACTGGAAAGAACTGGAAAGGAAGGCTCAGGACAGAGTTGGATGGAGAATGCTGGTGAGCGGCCTATGCTCCTCGACGAGGTGTAACAGGCGTAAGCAAGTAAGAACACACAAATATCTGTGATAACTAGTGTGAACAATGAATGTCGGCAAAATTATTTATGAAGTAACTTTCTCAATTTCACTTACTTGTATTATACGTCAAATCGTTGGATAACACTTCAGTACATTTTCGCTACAATTTATTCTGTTGTTAAGTCGCAAAGCAAACATCAATCAGAATTCCATCTTCTAAATTAAACTCTGAAGACCTCGTTCTGACGTGGCAAGATAAATATGTCATACTGAGAGCAATCAGCTTATAAAAATTTAATTCACACATACATTTAGTGATTTTAAACCTTGTGTTGTTTATCTATGTGTTAGGTTTTCTCTCTCTTCACTATATAATATTCTGCTAAACATATCCTGTACCGTTAAGCATGTAAAACACGGTTAATTGTGAATAATCTTAAAAGATCTGTTGTGTATGGAAACTCGAAACATCGACTGATAACCAAAATTCTTGAACCTACTTATTTACGCATAAGTAAACGTTGCGTGACAAGGAAGTGATTTTGTGGGTTTTTCTTGATGACTACCTCTCACTTAAAACAATGTACAAATACTTTCAACGTTGATGATTACTCCTTTTACTCCGTAAATGAATGAACTCAAACTTCTAGATCTAAATGATTTTTGTATTTCATACAACATAACTTCTATACATATGATTCACATTTTAATCCACTCCTAGAATATAGCAATTTTATTCTGAACAGTGTTAACATTAATCATAAACTTAGATTGAAATGAATTCTGAAGCGATGAACACTATGCATCCCTATGAACGGTTCTACCATAAACTACAAATTTAGATCCAATATACTTGAACCCAACCCTTTTTGAAAGTGGAGAGTCAAAGTTAACTTAATATTTGTCTTCACATAACTAAACCAACTATCGTTTGCACACTCTGATGCTATCTGTTAAGTAGATCTCAGTTTATTATACATAACTTTATCAAATGTGACACCACTTCGTCGTTACTCTTACTTATTATGAATTACATGTAAGTTTTGGAAACTTTTGAATAATTTGTCAATCTGTGAGTGAAGTAAAAACGACACCACTATTTTCTGATTTATTATTACCTCTACCTCGATCTTCTCTTTAAAAATAATCACACTCATAACTACATTTCATCCCACTGATGAATTTTCAAGAACATATATTGTTTAGTGATGTGTGGGCGAGAATGACAATGATTGGTTGTCTTGATGAGTCAGACATTAGATAGGATGACAGGTGTTATATGTGTTATATAAATTCCCCTATCCTTATTATGTATTGACTGTTGCTTGTTGATGGACACCTGTTGTTGGATACTTATTGATTGACTGTTCTTTGTGTCGGATTTTGGTGTGGAAATATATTGACGTTATAGTCAGGCTAATCTCGTGTTCTTGATCTGAGTTCTGTTGAAGTCCTGTAGAATAGACACTGGGTGGGAATCTTGTGTAGATATTCGTCTAAATAAATTAACGTCCCACGTACGTGTATGAAGTAAAAGGACTGTTATAACCAGAAACTGCAAGCGTTATAAGCAGCATCCTCTCTCTTTTAAGCATATAACGTTTAGTCATTACTTTTACTTAACATGTTAACTAAACATCTCTCCTCATTGATATTTTACAGTTACATTATTTACAGTTGACTTGATTAATCTGAGTAATATCTATGTAAATCAATAGGTCATGAAGCAGTTTAACAAATGCGCGACGACAGGTCAGTCACAGTGATTGTTTCGGTTATTGTTCTGTGTTCCATGTTTCCACTTTTTTTTCTCTAGTTGATTACGAATAATATGTAACGTCAAAGGAATTGGCCTTCAATACTCTATATATAATAATACTAATATATTCTGAAAATAATATTTACAGAATTCACACCAGTTTACAGGCATGATCAGTTTGATAAAAAAAGCAACATTTAATGTGGAGAACAAACATGAAATAAAAAAAAAAAACGTATTTCTTCAAGGTTATTTCCAATGCCATAGCAAGTTATTGATAAATATCTACAACTAGAGAAAGTAAGATTAAAGCAAAGAGCACGGAACAACAAAACAATGACTGCCAAAATATGCCGATCAGGTTAACATTGTTCATGTTAGATGTTATTCAAACATGTTAAAATTGCTAGTGACAGTGTTAATGCAAAGTGATAGCAGGTAAGTGAATGAACATTCAAGGTTCCTATAATCTCACTTGTGGAGTAAGATACAGTTACAAGCTCAAGAGCATTTAATACATTTTCAGAGGAGCAATATGCATTAATTGAGTGAACAAACAGTGGGAGAGAGTTTAACATACGGTTAGTTTGAGGTAAATTATTCCAGAGCCTAGGAAACTTACAGGCAAAGTAATTCATTTGGAGAGAAGATCTGGAATATATTTGTTTCGCTAAAGACAAGGAAATACGAATGTCGTAATGTCAAGCTTCAGCATATTGAATCGCCTGGTTGGATGTGAAGGATGGTTTGTTAAGTATTTTGAAAAAGAAGATAAGGTTAAGTTTGAGTCTCCTCTTCCATAAAGGGTCAAGCCCTAGTTTACTACACCTCGAATTATATGTCAAGGCACTATAAGTTCCAAGAGTACGAAGTGTAAATCGTTTCTGTACTGATTTCAGTCTTAATTTATCCTTTATGCGCGTGCTACTAAGCAGAAACGCGCAGTATTCGAGGAGTGGTCGAACACAAACTTTGTACATTAGAATACGAGATTCGTTGTTATGAAGGTTCCGAGTTATGTAACCTATAAGGCGTTGAGACTTATAAGTTTGTTTCATTATCTGTTCAGTAAACGACAAGTCGTCGGAGTTCCTAAGCCCTAGATTTTCGACTGAGTGTAACCTAGATATCACTTCACCATTTATGGCAAGATCGAAGTTGAGTGATGTATCACCGAAGCATACCCATCCACATTTAGCCATATTAAGCTCCAGTTGCCATTTCGAGCACCACTGTGTTTCTATGTTAAGCTCCAAGCTGATGCTATTTCGAATATTGCTCAGCTCATGCGGAGCAAATGAATACACCACTTTAATATAGTCAGCATACAAAAGGGACTTACCCCTACTAAAACACTCACAAATATCATTAATGAAAACTAAAACGAGCGAAGGACCTAAAACACTACCCTGAATTACCCCACTTCTAACAGGGATGGTATTTGACAATGAGGAGTTGATTTTAACTATTTGATGTCGATTGCTGAGGAAGTAATCAAACCAGGCTAGTAAGGGGTTTTGGATCCCATAAAATGCGAGAAGTTGATGGTTGACCATGTCGATGGCTTTAGAAATGTCGAGGAATAGCACCAATACTAGATATCCTTGGCTACGAAGAGAATAGACTAAATTAAAGAAGTCAAAGTGACATGTTATGCAGGATCGATTTTTTAAGAAATCCATGTTGCGTATCAGTGATAACTTCTTCAGTCAATTAATAGTTGGATTGTTCGTCACTAACAATTTTTTACATAATCCTAGAGATAACTGGAGTAATATTTATTAGCCGACAGTTGTTCATGTCAGTCTTACCTCCGAATTTGTGACGTGGTATGATGTACGCGGTTTTCCAACGGTCAGGATAAAAGCCTGATTCCATAGAGAGAGTAAACAGCTCAAGGAGAAGAAGTGGAATATCTGGACCACCATATTTGTAAAAAAGTGATAAAATCTCGTCTGCTCCGTGACCTTTCGAAACCTTGAGATCATTTAAGGCCTTACTAATTTTCAGGCATGTTAAGGAGATAGATTTTATTGAGTTACCAGTTATGCGTATAACTCTTGAAACAGAGCCATTTATGAATTCTTTGCCATTTACAAAATTACCAATGAAAAGATGTGCTATAGTTTTAGGGTCATATATAAAACTATTATTATGCAGGACGCATGGTACATCAACCTTTTGAGTTGATTTAGCTTGTTTATTGAAAAGGAGGATTAGGTTTTGCACTTTTGAGCTAGTAGTTAGTGCTACTAGCTCTTCATTGACGGCTTTTAACCTATGTTTCTTTATAATTTGATTGAAAATTATTGTTATTTGTGTAACTGCCGTGAAATCGTTAGATTCCAAATAACGTTTCTGTAGGCATATTAGTTTATTACAATATTTAGTAGAACGTCCTTAAATATATCCAGTATACAATTTGTTATTACTTTGAAAAAAACGGCTGTATCCAACTTGTTTTGGTCATATGCACAGTGTTTTATCACGTGATTTTTCCACCAATCGAAATACCTATTTCCCAATCTTAGCACTGTGTCAACAAAATGGCGTTCGACAGGTATGAGCAGTCTAGCATACTTATTAGTCCCTTGTCCGCCTAGCCCTCGCAATTGTGTCCAAATCATCAATTACGGCTTCTGCTATGCGAATCATTTATTTCAAGCATACTCAGTTTATATACCAGACAAACAGACCGCATCACACCATAAAATAGGAAATAATATTTGTATAAGATCAAGCCAAATGTGGCTGTAAACGTGGGAGACTGTAATCAATAATTTAAGAACAGTAATTCGTTTAATAATTATGCATAATACGAAATGAAGCTAATGGAAATAGGAATATAGATATACACAATCTAGTTACAGGACAGTTAAACAATAAGAAGATATATAGAATAATAGTACGTTAATAGGTCCCTGAAGATTCCTGTACTTACATCTTCACTAGAATATAACACAATTTGTTTATTTATTTCTGTTTTCATTGCATACAACCATTTGTTTTCGTTAATGAAATAATATCTATGCTCCCACAGCATCAGCCAGTCCAATTCTTCGCTGACCGAAATCGAATACAGTATAGAATCTTCCCATGAATGCGTCACCAAGAACCCAAGTGTTTGGATGTAACCAAGAATGTGGTTGAAAAGGTGACATACAAATTTTTATAAATAAAGGATCATCCTGTAATTGAACAAAAAATGCATTAGTATGGAACCATATTGTCTCCATTTTGTTGGTTTGAATGGTGACCATTCAAAAGATTATTCAAAGATAAGCAGTCATTCATTTTCTCTGGTCATTTCTTAATTACAGGTTGGAATATGCATCACTCAGTAAGAAAACAATTATGCATGTTTTCTACAAGATCGTCTTTCACATGAATCATATTAACATTAATCAATGTTTCAAATGATTGCATTAAGTTAATAATGCATCCAGTGAATCGTTTTTCATCATATATATACGCTATATAAAAGGGTTATTTGTAACGAAATCTTCCTTTCATTCAGCTTATTGACAAACTAAATATGGTATAAATTCACTTAGTATTGTTTATTGAGTCTTCTCATTGATGTTTTAGAACTGCAACTGGTCAATTTCTAATTGGTATATGTGCATACTGTGAGTATTGCCTCGATATAGTCTAAATTCACAAGCTTGGCATGCAAAGATGGATGGTGGTCAGCAGTGGATTCCAGTTTGACGCGAGTTTCGTCCTATTTGACACTCGTCAGCTAGATGTACCTGCATCTCAGATTTGATTTTCACTCTGGAACAATATGTATTCGTCCATGTGAGTTAGCTAGCCAAGGAACGGCCATCGAAATTTATTTCGGTATAAATATATCTATAGCTTACTCTAAAATTTAGTTTAAGTAGCCTGATTTGGGTTTTGAAATATACCGATAGTTTTATATAAATGTTTCATATGAATTCAATTGACCTGTTCATTGAGATTCACCTTGTTAAAACAATCTTACCTATCACAAATTCAAACTGATTGAAACTTCATAATCATAACAGACAATTTTAAACAAGCATTGTTTAAGACTAAACGAATTACTTGTATGCACCTTGACTATATAGTGTCGTGGCTTCAGAATATACTTCTTCCTATGAAAGATGAACTCGATCGATGGGAGCATATCAATTCGACCACAGTCAAGAGATTTTCTTTCAAAATAGTCATTAGTACCAAGTAAAGAATTGATTCGTCTCACCTGTTCAGGTGGTCCAAGAATTAAAGATGATCCAGTATCAATAAGAGCAGAACATACGTTGCAAAATTCTACCCCATTTATTCTTAAACTAGGTGTATATAGAAAATATTTAATTATAAATATTAGTATGAAGTTTATTTAAATTAACTAATAAATAATGTTAAAGTTGTTGAAAGGTCTCAAGAAAAATATTTTTCGATAGAGATATTTCGTGGATCGAGATCGAGATATGGCTCGAATGAGATCGTATGAATTTTATTGAAAAATGCACATCGTCTACCCTCGCATTGATGAATCACAGAAATAAATAAGCCGAATACGACAGTGAATTTTCTGAATACTTATATAGTTTGAACACTTACTGATCTGGACAGTCAATCAGAGGGACGAGGCGAAGAAAATAGAGTGCATCGAAATGACGCGCAGAGGAGAAGATATGTCAGCAAACTTCATTTAATGTAGAGTTAATCAATATTCATCGACAGATAAATATACGTTACAGACATGTGATGAATAGCATAAGAAATGCACACACACTTACAGATATATGAATGTAACGTGACATTAGCTCTTTAAATATTTGAATGAACAATTGTCTACATTACATTACTGAGATAGTTGAGTTCCATAGTCAATTGAAGCTAGCCCACCTAGGTAGCATAGGATTTTCGTTTCGTCCGAGTGTGTCTTTTCAGGTTTTCCATGGTGTTCTAGATGCAATTAACTCATAAACTCAACTAATAAATTACTATAATATCCACAAAACCCCTTTCTCATGATTACTGGAATACTTTTTAAACCATCATTTGAACAATAACTAACATTTGACATTTGCTTCATCCTCACTGGAGATTATTATTTAGATGCGTCTCACTGTTGTTGTAAATACACTAACTCAGATGCACATTTTAAACACATAATGCTATCCAAGTGATTTATTTATTTCAATCATTGTTCATTTCTCATCCTCATAATAGTGAAATACTTGCTGAGCCTAGTTTATACATTATGTTCCATTACAATTAATAAATGCAACAGTTATTAGAATTCCATTTCACATTCATCCATCTCTTACCGATGCTTAATAATCGTATTGAAATTACAGTACCTTGAGGAAGATGGTGTAGTGAACAAGAATATCATGGTCACCGTTTGAACTCAGTGGCAGATTGAGAAAGACCACAGATTTACACACATTACACGATTTGATAATGTGATCACGAGAGATTTTTTCGTATAAAATCTAGTGAAAAAAGTACCTGATCAACATTCCTGAGTAATTCGAATTGGAAATGATTTTGATGATGTTTTTGATGAAGACTTATTTAGTATGAATGAAAAAATGTGCGTTAATAAAAAGTATTTCTCTTGAAAGTACTACTATATGACGGATGCACTGACAAGGATATATTTCCAATCCCAATCTGATCAAGTGATTAGTGATAATGAAACTGGTATCATCTAAAACACTTGTGTTTGAACCTTGATAGTCATTGACAATAAACTCCGTCTGTACCCATTCTGGAGTTGCTGCTTGTCCCATGTCCGGTTACAAGAGTGTTGAGCATGGAGTTACAACGCAGTCCCGTAGAATACAATTTTGCTCACACATGAAAGCAACAAAGACGACAAAGATCAGTTTTACGAGAGACTATTTTCCATCGTACAGAAGTGCTAAGAAGAGTACCTGACCATCTCGACGGGAAACCCAAATGTCAAAGTCAGAATGGACAACAATGTGTATGCAGTTATCATGAGATGCATGAACTACTACAATCATCATCAATAAAGCACAAGTATTTATAGGCAATTATCTGCGGATGAAAGTTCAGATCCGCTTGGCGAATATCATCAGCAATAACCTACTGTGTCGGAGAACAAATAAGATTTTAGTTGAAATGGGAATTAAAAAATGACACTTGGAGTGAGTAGGACATGTATTGCGGAAATTACAGAACAACATCATGCAGACACCAAAAGAATGGATAACACTTGGAAACAACTGGAAAGCGGAGTCAAGGAAATAGTTGGTTGGAGAACTCTGATTGGCGGTCTATGACCCACTAAGGGTAACAGACGTAAAGTCAGTTATTAAGTAAATTGTCAATCTTTGTCCTTCCAACTCCTATTGACGTTAGGAAAATATCATGATTATCAAATTAAAATTATGTGAAAATAGATTACCTTAACATTCGAATCACCCACATATAATTGTGAACAGTAGGTATATATTCAAAATCACCCTTGAAATATTTGGGATTGAAACCGCCAAGTACCAATTCACCACCGATTCCTGAGTCACTTTCCCTATCAACAGATAATGAATGTGTGTGTATATTTATTGATAGTTTTTTCAATGTAATTCACCGACAGACAAGGTCAATAGCATAAACATTAGTTATCCGTTTGGACATGACCTTACCTGATGTAAAAATCAACCACAGTATGTGATCATGTCGTTGTGTAAACGTGTGTGAGACAAATAATTTAGTTTGTGAAGTCACTGTTTTTAACGAATACTCCTTATATAAAATGAAATCTACATCGTTTGCGACATAAAATACATTTACTCTATGAAAAAACGTAGTTGATCTGAAAAAAACGTGATGTGTTTATCTACGTATTTATCTATAATTGATGAGTAGCTGATGGATATTTCATCTAATATTACCTATAGATTATTAATAACTGGGGTAAATTCCAATCTAATGAAGCTCCTTGAGCTGTATGTCATAAACAAAGAGGAATTGAATGTTCTGAAGCCTACCGGTTCCGTACTCCTGATGGATTACATGAAATACACCAATCTAATAATCCATCACGACCAATATTGTCTGCACGTTGTTCACCTATAAGCATACTACCAAAATGGTTATCGAATAGCTAAACTGGATCCCTTAAGTAGTTGATGTTTTCGATGAGATTAATATTGAAGAAATAACAGTGCATTCTTTTGATATAGACACACTTTTTCGAATATGCCTCAAAACAAGACAGTTATTTCCATTGTGACCATGCATCGAGTAATTTCCTCCTTTTTCCTATTCGACAAACGATTGAAAGAACTAATTTTATTATGTGCTGCGAAAGTTCAATCTGTTCAATGTGTAATATAAACCTACCGATTTAAATAAAATGAAAATATTGGATCCATATTCACACCATTTGCTAGTATATTAGGGAACATTGGAATGTTTCCGTATTCTGATATCCTCATACTCGACATGCCAACTATTCCATCATATTTACAATTGTAGTAATCGCCATTAAATATATTCCTCATTTCTGCGAACGCTTGATTCCGAATCACCAACGAGCCTATCTGAAACATCATTTTATTTATAAACATTCTCAATTCTTACTCGTATAGTATCCACACTCCAAAATCCAGAGTAATTACTATCCAGATAAGTGACATGAAAACTGGAACCATCTGCTACATAAGTCGATGATTTCGAGCTATCGTAAAACGAAAACATCCAACAAAATATATCAAGAAACCAACAATTCCTTGATGCGAACCAAATGTCAATTGATCCTGTATCGAATAACACTCGAAGCTTTTGAGGTGGAGTTCCCACTGATATCTCACCATAATACTGAAACTAAATTGAAAGATTTTTTGCATTGAAAATTTCGACAGTATTGTTAAATCCAATTGAAAATGAATTTTGGGTATCTTCTAAGATTAATTAATAGTCTAATGTTATATAAATATATTCCTGTTGTATAGCTGTTCAGTAACTAGATTTTGTTTATGTATTGTTTATATGAATCAATGATTTCTCTGTTTGGATGACTGTTTTGATTTTGAATTCGAAATACATCCCTTGGTTCATTTAATGACATTATTGTGGACACAGGTGGTAGAGTCCATTATTTCATTCAAGAACTTGAAATCTTTAGATCCTAATGTTGTGGTAAGATCCACTGAGGTTCCAGTATTGGGGATTACTGGACGCAGACTGCCCATACGATGATGTCGAGAATTGCTATTAAGAGAGGATGTATATTCAGATGTATCTTGTGAATTTTTAGTTAGTGAAACAGGACTGTCAATAGTTGGTTTAAAAAACTGAAAAGACTTAAAGTGGAATTGTCTAGTTTCTACAGATAATCCTGATGCTTTACTCAAAGATTTGATAGCTGTGTGTGCTAACTGTGGTGGAGTTATGAAAATTCAGCCTATAAAACTTCAAGTACAAGGTGATCCAGTCTTTCTTAAAAAACGAATAAATCTTTATGGTCTTCGAGAGGCAGTACATAATTCACTGAACTATTTATGTGGGAAAGGTATAATTGAACCAGTTCAGTCCTCAGCATGAGATACTCCTAATGTTACGCCATTGAAGTCGAATGGCAAAATTACATTTCTCGACAACCATTACAAGATAGACCTGTTAATATTTCAGATTGTTTGTTAGTGCAACTTTTACCGGTGAGACGTCCAGATCTCACTAGAGAAACTCGTAGATACCTTGAATGTATACTCAGTGTTATACGCAAGGGTTGGAATGTTAATCTGAAACGTAGATTTCCTGTCTATTATTCAAAGCGGGATGAGTTATCTGTTACTTCTGTTGGTATTTTGTGTCTAAATGATCGTGTTTTTATTAATCCTTCATTACGCAATCCTGTCGTTTATGATCTTCTTAGTGGACATTTAAATGTTGAGAAAATGAAGTCCTTGGAAAGGCTCACATGTTGGTGGCCAGAGATAAATGTAGATATATATTATACAGCAAACAGTTATGAGAAATATCATAAGCTAAACAGTCAGCCTTCAAAGTGGACTCCATGGCCAGTATCGTCTGAGGCGCAGTAGAGAATTCATGCAGTCTATTGTGGTCCATTTCTTGGCAAATACTATACACTTGCAGTTATTGATTCTCTTCCTAAGTGGCTGAAGTTTTTTCATAACTTCACCGAATTCTGACTTCACAATCCAATCAATAAAGAAAGTGTTTAGTCGAGAAGGAGTTCCCATGGTGTTAGTGACTGATAATGGCTCTCATTTTGCTGCAGATTTAGTCACTAATTGGTTGAATGGTGTAGAGTGCAGACATTTGATTACTGTTCCCAGGTACCCCTGTTCTTATGGTCAGGCAGAAAATTTCATCAGGAAATTAAAAATTGCCATTGATTCATTTGTGCTCACACACTTAATGAACTGGAGAGGGGAGTAGATGCATTTCTAATTCAACATAGAATTGCTGAACATTATGTGACGAGACTCCATCGGAGCTATTAAAAGGAAGAATTCTCCGTTCGAATATAAGCTGTTTAGAGTTTTCTGATATTACATATTATAGTGGGAATGATCTTCGACCAGCCACAGGGATCGTGGTGAAGAATGTTGGAAAATCTATGGAGCGAATTCTAGATATCAATGACTTGAGTATACATAACCGACACGTTGATCAAATACAATACCAGAACCCAGATGAGTCTGTTCCAATTTCCGTTGTTAATTCTAATACTAACGAATGCATTCTAGATTATTCAGAGTCTACATCCAATACACTGTTGTACAGATGTGAGATGAACTTAAGAAGACGTACAATCGATCACAGACACGTTAAATCAAATATGAGTTGTGGAGAATGTGGTGTTTATTTGAATCAATGATTTCTTTGTATTGATGACTGTTTTGATTTTGAATTCCAAATACAGAACATTCGTTCGTGGTCATCTAATACTTCTTGATTGGATTGCGTTAATGCTGAGATCACTGGTTCATATCATAATTCAAATACTTCAAATATTTAGTATATCTATATTCCTATTATCATTAGCTTCATTTTGACCTATGCATAATCATTATACGAATTACTGTTCTTAAATTATACCCAGTTTGTCGATTATAGTCTCCCACGTTCACAGCCATATTTGACCTGATCTTGCACAAATATTATTTCCTATTTTATGGTGTGATGCGGTCTGTTTGTCTGGTATATAAACTGAGTGTGCTTGAAATAAATGATTCTAATAACAGAAGCTGTAATTGATGTTCTGGACACAATTGCGAGGGCTAGGCGGACAAGAGACTAATAAGTATGCTAGGCTGTTCATACCGGTCTTACATCATTTTGTTGGCACAGTGTTAAGATTGGGAAATAGGTATTTCGATTGGTGGAAAAATCACTTGATAAAACGCCGGACATAAAATTACAATAATTACTATATAGAAATATTAATTACGTTTGTTTACTTTGAGAGATTCTTTTGATTTGAATTTACTTTCGAATAAGAGGCAGTCGTGGAAATGATATTTTGTTATTTGTATCAGTGATTCAATTGTCAGTAGTATCCATTATCCTGTTACACATATACTGTTGAGGACTATATCGATTAGTAATATTCCGAATTAGTGGTTTTATAATAGATTTTATATTAGTAATACATTAATGCAGATTTCAAACTATGAATACGACTGATGCACTTACGTTTTGAAAATTAATCAGTTGTTCTCGTGTAGATGTGTTTTGCTTATTCCATTGATACATGGATATTTTCTTCGAAGGCCTAAAGTAACTCGTATAATGTGCAAGCAATGAATTGGATCTTTCCATTTGGTGGAGTGGAATTTTCACAATCTCACCAAATAAATATGGCAGAAAAACGACAATGATGAATTGAATCATTGAGATTTGTTTGAGTACTCTGAAACGTAGTGATGTCTATGGTACTTTTATTATGTTTTCATCATGCTTTATTGACATAGATGTATCAAATTAACTTGAAGATCGGTCATAAGCAAACCCGATTACTGGTGGTAATACGATAATTGTTTATTGTGTGCGGATATCATCAATAAAATGGTTCAAATTACAGTTGAAACACATATTTATTATTTGTTTAATTGTTTGATGTGAAAACGTTTACATATCTCGGCAGCATCATTGATGAACTCGGTAGATCAGATGCAGATGTGAATGTGCGGATCGACAAAGCAAGAGCAGCATATCTACAATTGAAGAACATCTGAAACTCAAAACAACTGTCAACCAACACCAAGATCAGATTTTTCAATACAAATGTCAAGACAGTCTTACTATGAGGGGCGGAAAATTGGGGAACTACGAAATCCATCATCCAGAAGATAATGGTGTTTATTAACAGTTGTCTACATAAAATCCTTCGTATCCGAAGGCTAGACACTATCACCAAGAAGCTACTGTGAGAGACAACAAACCAGATTTCAGTGGAGGATGGAATCAGGAAGAAGCGCTGGAAGTAGATAGGAAACACATTTAGCACAAAAACAAATAGATTCATCAATCCTTTAAGTTAAACTGATCCAATAAACACGTCCATTCATTTGTAATATGGCGATTGTGAAACTACTAGAAAATCTTGACAACGTCAGTTGACAGATTTTCGAGCCTGAATGTTAACAGTTAACCACAAGTACTACGTTTCTATGTTGTTCTAATGCAATGTAAATTTCACCTACCTGTGTTGATTTGTTGATTATGAAACCAGTAAGCACTAGATGGGTTCCAAATAATTAAATTACAGTAATACATCAATTATAGCCAACTAAACATTTCATACAGTCTGTTGCCTAAGTGGTGGTCTAATTTATCTTGATGTCCACATTACATCTCATGCATAACTTACATAGTTGCCTTCAAATCGTGCATAATTAAAACTTGATGAGTTACAATGCATTTATGCAATCCATTTGCATTAAATATTGGAACTAAATTTTATCCCATTACTTCAATTATATATATTATATATTATTATCGGCCACCGGAGAAATAATTTTATTCGACTGGCTCGTACTGTATAATCAAAAAGAACAGAAGTGGGGACAAGCAAATGTATTTTTATGTAAAATTATAGAATATCTAAGTAAAATATAGGGACCATGCACTAAACACTTCACTTGCCATTTCCCGTCATTTGTTCTTCACATTCTGTGTGGTTCTTACTTACTTACTTACTTACTTACTTACTTACTTACTTACGCCTGTTACTCCCAATGGAGCATAGGCCGCCGACCAGCTTTCTCCAACCCACTCTGTCCTGGGCCTTTTTTTCTAGTTCTTTCCAGTTCTTGTTCATTCTTCTCATATCTGTCTCTATTTCTACCAGTCAACAATTCCTTTCCAATTCAGTTCCCATTCTCTTCACCTCAACCCTCATAGACTTCTGCTGCCAGGTTTTCCACTTCCAATTACATTCTATATATGTCTGTCGACAAAAGTAGCATACACAACGGTTGTACTAAATATTTAGCTTTGCTCCTCTATGTTATTTAAGTTTCGTTGAGATGATCCTGCAAATTTCTCGCAATCGACATGACAAGCTCATGAAACATTAAAGAGCATTTCATCCAATCAGCGTTTGATTAGAAGTTAAGTTAGTGACATAGCGAAAATGAAAATTCACATGTAGAGATTCTGATTGGCTGATTAACACATTGCTACTATGTTTAGCAGTATTCTAGAATTTTCAGTAAAAACCCAAGGACTTTTAAATACTATAAAAATGCTATATTTTCTGAACATGAAATGAATTTTTGGAGTAAATTGCTTCCCGCATATTTTGTGCCTTTTCTCTTGTGTTCAAGTCGCTGTGTAGTTCTAGCCCGGGGGTCACGAAACTAGCTTAGGATCCGAATATAGCGTTCAATCTACAAGACGTATCAGTTTTATGTTGATTGCATTTTATGTTTGTTTTTTGAAGAAGCGACTCACAATTAGTCGTGAAGCGTGACTTGCATAATCAAGATGCGGAATTTCAGGTTAGATTAAAGTGATACTTCACAAACTGGCGAATGTCAATGAGTCCATTTTCTTATTTAAATTATTTGATTTCTGATTATGGCAGAATACAGTGTGCAGCTATCGACGTGCTTTTTGGAGACGTCCTGTATTGGTGTATGTGAATATAATGTGTATGTAATCAATGACTCCTAGAGTTAGAATACTCCACAAAACTTCACAACTTTGACACACAGCATTGAAAAAAACATTGGAAACACTGGAGAATAAAGGACTGTAATTAAACTCCAAGATGTAATTTAACCCAAGAGAAGAAACACTCGATAGCTGACCGTAATATTGAATGGGAGTTCTAATGCTTACAGATTTACTACAGTTGAAATAATTTAATACATATACGAGTTGAATGTCTTAATGATTGATTGATGTTTCCATCTTAGATGATGAGTTGTTGTATTTTATTTCTGTTGTATCATGAGAGGCATTGACAATGTTCCCATTAATTTGTAATTAGAAACATGTGAGATTGTTTACGAATGTGCTTCTTCTTATATTCGTGAATATAATATGAACAACTAAACATCATGAGTTCAAATATGCAAATGATCAACGAAGTTACATTGATTAAGTTGAATTCAATGATGAAAACCACATTTTTGATGGTCTGTATTCCAGTACATGAACGCTTTTGAAATGAATGAGTGATAGACTGATGTTTTTTGGAAAGTGAACGCTCTTCAATAAGGTAAACCGTTATCACTAATTAATGATCGATGGTCGACACATATGTATTTTGATAGGGAACATTAGGACTTAATTTGGTTGCATGTTTGCCACGACCATAAATATGAAGTTAAAATTCTCAATGTAGCATATTGTTTCAAATGATATAAAATATATTAAGTTCAGATGAAGTCAATAGTATGAAATATTTATTGATCACACGTATTATCCTGAGTATAGCTCTCATTCAACGAGTTCATTTATATCAGATTAGAAAATTATACTTAAGCCTACTAATCAACAGTTGACCATAAAAACTATGTTTCACTGTATCACTTATGTTGTACAGAATCATCTGGGGGTCTTCTTGTGTTTCTTAGATGTTTTTGGGACGAGTCATGATATCGCAAGAAAATCCTACAATATATAATATATCACAATTTACACATCCTAATCTTCTGACACAAAACATTTGTCGAATTATACTTGAGCACATTCATCAACGGTTGACCAACAGAACTATCTTCCACTGTCTCGTTAATGCAGTACATTCAATCACAATCAAATGTCAGATATCATACACAGTGGATGGTAATATATTGGTTGTCTAAAATTACTGGTTTGGTTTTGGAAATTGTTTCTGTTTGAAATGGACAACATCTATACAACTCCTTGGTGACTTTTATACTTTAATTTTATAAATCACATTTAGTGGATGTTTCACACACAAGAACTGTTTAAATCGTACACTCATCATCACACGATGATTGTAATGATGACTTATATTATGAATTCGAAATATATAGATGGTTAGTGAGAACATTGATTTACAAATGATATAAAATTTATGACAATGTTGAATAACACAATTATATGAACAAAGAATATTGTTTTCACGGGATCGAATCCACCAGGAGCATCAGTGCCCTCAAGATTACAGGTACACCTTGCTGACGGGTGCAAAGTAGCACGAAACCCGGGTCCACGGTTTCCTGTTGACCACCTCCAACCACCATTTTACCTCTATATATATATATATATATATATATATATATATATATAGTGCAAGCAGTGTCGAGCCACCTCGACTGGTGGCCACATTGCAACTTGATTAATAGCATTCGATCAGTACTAAAAAAGGACTTGACACGCATGACATTGATCACCACCCAGTGATCAATCAATTGTTAATATTATTTTCAATAATTTCTCATCAGGTTCTACAATTATAAATTAATAATCCATAAAAGAAGATTGGCCAAATTTAAGGCAGAGTACATCATTTAACAAAAGTGTAACATGTGAATCAAGGAGTGTTGTTTGTCGGGCCTTTGGTTCGGCGTGCGCCCAGCGCGGTAACGCAACCGACCTCGGAGACGTCGGCGAGAGTTCTGGGAAGAGTTCTCTTTTCTTTGTTTAGATCGAATCTTTAATTCGGGATGACTAACATGTAATGTTAACTTGAATCGGTTTATAGGTGAAATAAAATCGTAAGATAAATTATCAGAATATATATATAGTTGACATGGGGGTGAGAGATAGAAAAATGGGATTACAAATCAGAAATTACGCATTATGTAGAATAATATAAATTAGGTCAGATATAGTAGATAGGGATGGATGCTGAATAAATTTCTCTAAAAGGTTAGCAAGTGTGATAATAATAATGACTGATAAGATGTGTAGATAAACTAAGTTTAAGATATAGAAATGAACATTAATCAAATTAATGTCACCATATTCACAAAATTGATTATTAGCAAGTAGACCCTGAAGTTGGCCAGTGTTAAAAGAGCGGCTGGACATATTTTTTTTGAATGCAGAGCTCTGGCTTTTTGATCCGAATAGCAATTGCCTCAGCCGTCTGCAGGATTCTCTGTCTGACAGTATTAGGTAGACCGCTATTAACACGATATATTACTGAGAAAGATTGCTCGATGTCGGCTCTATGTCCCGTCTGAACTAAATGGGCTAAAACAGAGCTGTTAACCGTTCTGACTACACCTTTGCTTAACCACACTGGAAAGTGTTCACGAGCCCGAGTATACACATTCCTAGAACATCTGTCTATATAACTTGCCTAACAGGAGCAGTTGAATTGATATATACAGAAAGAAGTGAATAAATAATGACCACTTTATTTGAATGTTTGAAGCGTCATCGAATCGTGAAATAAAAACTATCGAGGTACAACTAAATCGAAACCACTCTGGCAGACTATTCACTTCAGATAGATAACTCAATATATGATACCCGTTTGTTTATTAAAGTATATCAGTCGATTTGCTTCAATATCTGGACTACCTGTTCCTGCCATCTAGATATTTCAAAAACTTATCTGTTTCTTTGTTTGTTTTAACAGGTAATTAAGTCAATTCATTGCATAACCTATTCAGGTACATTGGTGAAAACTTTACGACCTTTCACTGTACAACTTACAAAAATGTATAATCGGAGACATCGTGATGACTGGCAATATGAATAAATTAGAATGAATATTATTCAGATGTCAATTTAATAGACTGCTTACTTCTAACTGGTGATCACTCAATATCACTCAATGACGAAGAAGTAAGGAACGGAGAGTTGTTGAAATACTTTGTGCGGAGAAGGGGTTGTTGTGGATATTATAGTAATTTTCAACATTTGAGATCATGAGTTAATTGAAGCTGTGCAATGCTCAAGAGTCCCACAATAGGACGAAACAACCGTTCAGTTCTTCCAGGTTTTCCATGATGGTCGAGCTTCAATTGACTCATGATCTCAACTATTGAAATAAATAGTACATTGCTTTCTTTGAAATGAAAGATCATTGTCTATTCATCATAACCACACAATATTTTCACTCCGTTATTTTTACTTGCAGAATCCCAAACGTTTATCATTAAAAAGGCTAACATGGTATCACCCTATATTATCACTTATTCAATTTGTTTCATGAATCAATTCATTGCAATATATCTTTTATAAACCAAGATGACACCGTTCAACTAGCATATATATACTAAGTTGATTTGAACTTTTGAAACACTCATCGTTGGAATACAAAGTAGTAGTATATAGTACAATATATCACGTGTAATATTTTAAGTCAAATAGATAGGAAGAAACATTTTCAGTATGATGAATCGCGTAATGACTTGTTCGTATTTATATATTTGATTCACTGTTGTGCACACAATTGTGATTTCTATATTTTAGCAACATATTACTGTTTACTTAACTTGTCGTTCCATTCTTCTTATTTGTAACATACGTTAATCCAATACGTTTCTGACCGAAATCAAATACCGTATAGAATCTTCTCATAAAAACGTCACCAAGTACCCAAAAATTCGATGGTAAGGAATCGTCAGCCTCAAAAGGTGATGAGCACATTGTTCCAAACCAAAGGTACACCTGTAATCGAATGAGGAAGACAAAAATATAGAAGTAAATTGTTTCTATCTCATTAGTTAAAATAGTATATTTCCAGAGGAATATAAACTAGATGATTAATGTTCTGTTCCGTTGTTTGCTTACACATTTATAGAATGGTATAGTTTATTTGTCAGTATGAAATTTTCTGCTCCATATTTTCTACAGTATTGTATTTACCAAAACAGTAGTTCATGTGGGTTCAATGGCTGAATTACCAGCTCATTTTCAATCAGATAATTGACTGTCCTTATGAACATTTGGTGACGGTTCCCTATCAAAAGCTAGCTCTTTACCCATATATTCAGCTTACATTTAAAAACCGCAATCCGACCATTTAGTTTTACATGGTACAAGAACTGCTCGCCAGTACAGAATACATTATACTCGTTCTAAACAACGATATTGTTGTTGTCGTTGTTGTTGAAACCTCCTACAAGTGTGCTTTCCAAAGAGAATTTTCGCATTTCTCATTCATTCGTCGCACAATCTCAATGACTGGAATCGCATAATGGGATCAACTGAAGTCATTATATCACTCTGTATTTTGCAAGTCTGTTTTCCATCAAATTAACTTGAAAATACTAAAAGTGAACACCATGAATACACAATATATGACCAAAATGTAATGAAGAGGGCATTCATAATATAATCTGACAAAATACTTTCGTTCACCTTAACAACATAATGTTGTGGCAGCAATATGTACTTCCTTTTCTGAAAGATAAACTCGATCGGAGGCAACATGTCAATTCGACTACAGTCAAGGGCATTTCTTCCAATAACATGATAGGAAACACCGAGCAGTGAGTTGATTCTTGCCACTTGCTCTCTTCTACCCAGAATCACTGATGTCCCAGTGTCAATATAAGCAGTACATTCATTGCAAATTTCAATACCCTTTATTTTCAAACTGAATGGACATTAAAACATCAACAACAGCAAAAACCAAGATGTAGAACTAATCAAAAATAAACAAAACGAGTTTGTTTTGAAAGTCATTGCAACTAAATCAAATTACATTGAACAACACGTGAAACAAGTGAAAATAACTGAGATTAGTGGGTAGATACAACCACAGTAATAGAATGGATGAAATGCCTAGCATATCTATAAATTTTTAGGTATATCGCACGAACCAATAAGCTGATTTTATGAGAAACACGCTCAAAATTGTTCGTCGATAACGTGAACTATTTACTAGTAGACAGCAAGTAACATGACTGAGGAACAAAAATGTATATGTGGAAAAGTGAATTGACAGTTTAAGACCACGCACTACGTTCTTCATAAGAATAGATAATAAGAATCATGAATGGAAACATGACGGAAACCTACTGGCGGAGCTAGATCTGCTTTAAACACTTCTCATAAATCAATATTCAAATATATATACATACACATTGTCCATCAACAAACAATCTCTCAACAGTTTCCAAATCGAATGTTCTTCAGTTATCAAAATACGTAAAACAGTTCAAATAATATCGACTTTTCTGCATCACCTCAATCAGACAAATAAAACAATATACAACATCAATCAACCAAACAAACTTCCAACAAGTCAATTCGCACTTTTCGAAAGCCATTGAAATTTACATATCTTATTGTACTTGATCAAACCCTACCTTGACATTCCAACTGCCCACATATCCTTGTGAACGATAGGTATATATTCGAAATCTCCCTCAATGTATTCAGGATTAACACCACCGAGTACCATTTCACCACCGATCGGAGCCCCGTTTTCCCTACAACCAATCATTAAATAAATCCATTTAAATATCATTCATATTATTTCCACTGAAAAAATACATTAGTGTAAAACATTACACCAACTGAAATCAACAATGTCTTCATGGTATCACCTGATACGTGAATAAGTCAAAGTGCATAATCACTCTGTTTCATGTCTGTTTGGCATGTAAGTTATACTCATTCTATATTGTCGACTTACACCATCCATGTAAACGATAACAAAATTGATTGGGTAAAACGAGAACACAGAAAGGAATAATCATGTTTGTTGATAAATACACAAAAATTATTCCTGATAAGTCTTATTACTGGTCATTTTGAACTGGAAAGTTGAATGTCTGACATAGTAGTTCATTAAACCATAAAATGTCTATAGAATGATGACTACTGTGTATGAAATATCCTTATTAAGCTTTCACTGGTTTGATGACAATTGACCAATACAAACTGATAAAATTCGAACAGAGTAAGACTGTGTCTCAATGTTTCTCTTTGACTGCTTCCAATCACCTTCTGTCATCCAATCTGACTTACACGAAATATACCTTCACAAGAAATCCATGTCACTAATAATCTTATACTACATGTATTTCAAATAGCTTGATTGGATCAAAATACATAGTTACTGACATGGCCCATTGTCAACCAAATACCGAATGAAATATCAGATTGTCACTAAGACTTTCTCAGTTAAGTGATATTCAAAACCGAATGATTAGGTTACACAAAAGTTTAATTTTATGTCTGGGAATCTAACTCAATTCACAGCACAACTCACTGATTTAAATAAAATGAAAATATTGGATCCATATTCACACCATTTGCTAGTATATTCGGGAACATCGGAATTTTACCAAATTTCGATATCAGACTACTCGACATGCCAATTACTCCATCATATTTGCTAGTGAAGTAATCCAGACTAAATATATTCCTCATTTCAGCAAACGCTTGATTCCGAATCACCAACGAGCCTATCTGAAATACCATTTAATTTTTAAACATTCTCAAATCTTACTCGTATAGTGTCCACACTCCAAAGTCCAGAGTAATTACTATCCAGATAAGTGACATGATAACTGGAACCATCCGCTACATAAGTCGATGATTTCGAGCTATCATAAAACCGAAACATCCAACAAAATATATCAAGAAACCAACACTTTCTCGAAGCGAACCATGTGTCAGTTGATCCTGTACTGAACAGCACTCGAAGCTTTTGAGGTGGAGTTCCCACTGATATCTCACCATAATACTGAAACTAAATTGAAAGATTATTTTGAACACAACATTTAGACAGTTTGATATAGAAATAACAATCTTGTTTGTTTACTTTGAGAAACTCTTTGATATTTTGTTATTTGTATCAGTGACTAAATTGCCAGCACTTTCCATGACCCTATTCACTATTTCTGTTGAAGACTATATCAATTAGTTATATTCCATAGTATTTATTTTTACAGGCATAATTCAACAGTTACATTTTACAAGATCAATTATTTTCTCACTGTGTGATCGTAATGAGTTTGTGATAGCAATCCACTTAGATTGTTTCACATACACAATATCAAGTCAAATGTAATTGGTAAGAAGGGAAGTCGTGGTATTTCCTGTTGCTTATTCGACATGCTTGAAATAAATGATTCGCATAGCAGAAGCCGTAATTGATGATTTGGACACAATTGCAAGGGCTAGGCGGACAAGGGACTAATAAGTATGCTAGGCTGTTCATACCGGTCTTACATCATTTTGTTGGCACAGTGTTAAGATTGGGAAATAGGTATTTCGATTGGTGGAAAAATCACGTGATAAAATACTGGACATAAAATCACAATAATTACGATATGAAAATATTAATTACGTTTGTTTACTTTGAGAGATTCTTTTGATTTGAATTAACTTTCAGATAAGAGGCACTCGTGGCTATTATGTTTTGTTACTTGTATCAGTGATTCAATTGTCAGTAGTATCCATTATCCTGTTACACATATACTGTTGAGGACTATATCGATTAGTAATATTCCAAATTAGTGGTTTTATAATAGATTTTATATTAGTAATACATTAAGGCAGATTTCAAACTATGAACACGATTGATACACTTACGTTCTCATAATTAATCAGTTGTTCTCGTGTAGATGTGTTTTGCTCATTCCATTGATACATGGATATTTTCTTCGAAGGTCTAAAGTAACTCGTATAATGTGCAAGCAATGAATTGGATCTTTCCATTTGGTGGAGTGGAATTTTCACAATCTCACCAAGTAAATATGGTAGAAAACCAACAATGATGAATTGAATCATTGAGATTTGTTTGAGTACTCTGAAACGTGGTGATGTCTATGTTACTTTTATTCTGTTTTCATCATGCTTTATTGACATAGATGTATCAAATTAACCTGAAGATCGGTCACAAACAAACCTGATTACTGGTGGTAATTCGATACTTCTTTAATGTTTGCTCATATCACTAAGAAAATAGTTCGAATTACTGTTTAAACACACTGTTTAAACTCATTGGTAATTCGGAATAAAGCGTTTGCGGAATTGAGTAGTCTATTTAGTCTGGATTACTTCAGTAATAGATATAATGGAATAATTAAGTATGTCAAGTAGCCGGATATCAATGTATGGTATAGTGACATTTATGTCTAGTGATTTTTTGTAACAACAAATTAAAGGTCACATATTTTTCTTAGTTGTCACACTTTTTATGTAATCACACTCATATTCGATATCTATTGTTTTTCTGTATCAATGGTAAAGAAACGAATACTGTTGTTTGGTTATATATAACACGACTTCACTACCGCGCTTCTTAAATTATAAACGTTGTATCCGCCGTCTATTCTTCTGCTTTAACGGCCACGGCCTTTGATTGAAGATTATAATAGTATTATAACATCTTTTTAGACCATTACACACTACGTTGGTGTTTTGGCCCGGATCATTAATGAATAATACTACTGGATCTAATCTTCTCCATTTTGCTGTTGGTGCCATCACGTGCAGAGGAATCTTTGTTAACCAAGTGAACTTATTTGTGGTTGTTATCTCAGAAAGCAGCTTACAAGTAACATTCATTTCATAACACTGTTACCATTTTGTTGCTCAATATACCTTTTTATAATTTAACTGTAACTTGTTACCTTTTGCGTTAATCATAGACACACGCCTAGGTTCGTAGTGTTAATTCTTTTGGTATATTGTTGGTAACGTGGCGTATTGTTATATTCTAACTAAGCTCTTTTGCTGAGGTCCACCACAATGGAAACATTCCAATGTCCCGAAAAAGATTAGCTGGCAATATTATTACAGATTTAATATTTTCACTTGATGGAAACCGGTCAGTTTGCTTGACGTATCTACTTTGTTTATGAGGTTTAAATTTGGGTTATTGTATAATCAAGTTATTCATATTTTATGTCTTTCAACTTGGAAGAACATTCGTTCCAATAAGACTCTTTTCATAATTAGCCAGTATTTAAGAACTCTTGTGATTTTATGTCGGGCTTTTATCATATGATATATCCACCCAACTAGTCTTAGCACTGTGCCAAATATATGACGTTCGACCGGTATGAGTAGCCTAGCCTTCTTATTGTCCGCCTAGCCCATCCAATTGAGTCCAGAACACCAATTACAGTTTCTTCTATGCGAATCATTTATTTCAAGTGTATTTGGTTTATATACCAGACAAACAGACTGCATAACACCATAAAATGGGAAATAATATTTGTACAAGATCAAGCCAAATGTGCCTGTGAACGTGGGAGACTGTAATCAATAACCTGAGTATAATTTAGGAACAGTATTTTGTATAATAATAATTCTTAGGTCAAAATGAATCTTATGATAAGATGAATATAGATACATACAATCTAGTTATACAATAAGACTGTATATAGAATAATAGTCCGTTAATAGATCCCCTGAGTTGCCCCTACTAATGTCTTCACATGAGATAAATCAAGAACGATTACCGATTTTCAGAATAGTTTAGGCTTTGAGATTGTCGTAATATTTATCTCTTGTGGAACGTCATGAGTGTTGAGGTAATCGAAGGAAAGGCTTAAACGTGGCTTTACCTTGTCCAACGAACATTGTTTTTGATTAGTTTATATATATATATATATATATATATATATATATATATATATATATATATCAGAATTTGTTAAAAACATTATACCAAAGCAAGGAGATCTGAGCAAATGTGAGAATCGCAGAGGCATCAGTTTGCTGTCAGTACCAGAGTGTTGCTGAACCGGATGAAAGACGCAGTGGAAGCCCAACTTCGAGATCAATAGGCTGAATTCCGGAAGGATCAGTCGTGCACAGACCAAATCGCGACACTACTGATCATCGTGGGACAATCAGTTGAGTGGAACTGATCACTATACATCAACTTAATTGAATATGAGAAGGTGTTTGACAGTGAGAACCAGAGAATATTATGGAAACTTCTTCGACACTATGGAGTTTCTGAGAAGGCTGTCATCATTATTCGGAACACATACGACGAACTACAGTACAAAGTGGTGCATGGAGGACAGCTGACAGATGCATTTCCAGTAAGGACCGGAGTCAGAAAAGCCTGTTTACACTCCTCCTTCCTCCTTCTTCTGGTGATTGACTGTATTATGAAGATCTCGACATCTGACGGGAAACACGGGATACAATGGACATATCGGAATCAATTAGACGATTGGACCTCGCAGATTACCCAGCCCTCCTATCTCACACACACAGACAAATACCGACGAAGACAACTAATGTAGCAGCAGCCTTTACATCAATAGTCCTCAACATACACAAAGGAAAAAGCAGGATTCTCATATACAACACGAAGAACACCAACCCAATCACAACTGATGGTGAAACTCTTGAAAAGGTGGAAACATTCACGAATCTGAGAAGCAGCATCATTGATAAAGAAGGAAGATCTGGTGTAGATGTAGAGGCGAGGATTGGCAAAGCAAAGACCACATTTCTTCAATTGAAAAACACATGGAACTCAAAAAAATGCCAATTTACTTCAAATTGATAATCTTCAGTGCGAACGTCAAGACAGTCAGTTCTACTGTACGAAGCTGAAACGTGGAGAAATACTACATCCATCGTCAAGAATGTACAAGTATTTACAAACAGTTGTTTACACAAAATACTCGATATTCCCTAGCCTGATAATATCGGCAACAGCGTTTTATGGGAGAGGACTAATCAGCTTCCAGCTGAAGAGGAAATTAGGGAAAGACGTTGGAAGTGAATCGGACATATGTTGAGGGAATCACCGAACACCATCACGAGGCAAGCCCTAACGTGGAATCCGGAAGGGAAGCGGAAAAGTGGAAGGTCAAAGAACACATTAGGCCGGGAAATAGATGCTGATATGAAAAGGGTGAATGTTAACTGGAAAGAACTGGAAAGAATTGCCTAAGACAGTGTTGGATGGAGAATACTAATGGGTGGCCTATGCTCCTCCATGAGGGAGGGTTAACAGTCATAAATAAGTAAGTAAGTGTTTTAAGCATTGGCCAGTTTGATTTACATCAACTTATTTTTTAGATCTTTAGGTTTAAAGTTAGTGACATGGCAGAAAATGTTTACGAATTGCGATTTTCATCACTATTCTTATGATATAATTTAGAATGCGATGTGGAAATACATGACAATGTGCATAGGCTCTATTCTTGTTCGAAGAATCAATTAATATTTTATGTATCTCCAGTTATATTAAGAATCAAATGAGTGCACAATCAAATGATTCTATGAACTGTATCGTTAATCATTGATTTAGCACCCTATATTTGTTAAACGATAACGAAGTTTCTAAGATATTTAAGAAGCATATGTAACTCGGAATTCAAACAATAAACAAGGATATAGTTATGCATTTCGATTGATTCTTATATATTCTGAGACCACAACGCACCGCTGATTTCTTTTCTTCTATGATGAATCATGTTTATTGGTGGATTAAAAACGAAATAAACTACCATTTGTTTCTAGGGAAAATGATCCTCCGATAAGTGGACAAAAGGTACTTAGTAGAGTTGATCGTAAATATTTTCTTTGAGATTTTGAGTATATACCCACCGTTCACGACTATATGTGGATGATGCATAGGTAGTGTATTGTAGTGGTTACTCTAGTTTATGTATTAACATAATTTACTTTTTACTGATTTCATTGTTTCAATCTTTTATATGGAGGTTCGAGAATAAGGAGTTCACAGTCTGTTCATTGTTTTGTAGTAATTGAAAAATATAAGTTCTATTTAACTTAGTTATTTCAAAACATAATGCATGAAATACCTTTCAAATCATTCAGTCTTACTTTAAAATACTTTTACATGTTAATGATACGATAATGTTCCTCTGATTTTATTGGGAAAAATGTCTCATAAATACACTCATAAACTGTGTAATCTATAGGATGAATAACAACTGGAAAGAACTGAGAAGGATTACTGAGGACAAAGTTGAATAGAGAATACTAGTGGGTGGTCTATACTCCTCAACGAGGGGTAACAGGCATAGGTAAGTAATTAAGATATTCTTTCTCATTACACTGTCTACATTACGTTATATTCATTTATAATATAATTATTAAGTGAATTGAACTTTGCATGATTTATATATCAGATAATCGTTGGACTCGACAAGCTGAAAGTATAATAAAGAATAATACTGTGAAATAAAGTCAATAAATAGTTCACCATTATACGGAAGAGAAATAAATGGTGACTAATATATGTCAATTAAATTGCGTGGTTCAGTGGTAGATACTTCAGGATAAAATTGAATAACTTGTGAGTCTCATTGGGAACATGAACAAGGTGAAACATGCAACGAATCTTCCCTGATACGGGGACATTATTTTAGTTAATTTCATGATTAAGAATTTCGCCGACTTCATCATTTCACATTTATTTTCTCTGAACATATAAGATTACTTATTAAAATATTTCAGTAGTAGATGTCCTTTTGAACTAGAATTTCCTATTTATAGAGTTTGTTTGTTTGTTTGTTTTTGAAATGTAACTTTACAAAGAAATTCTTTATTAATTAACATTCAATTAACTTTATTGTAAAGAGAAAAATGAGAAAGTAAACTAATTTGTCTTATACTTTTTCATATAATAAGAGATAAGATATATTCTATAAATAAACTTATAGATAAATGAAGCAGACCAGATGAACAAGTGAAATGAATCAATTCTCTGTTTGGCCCTTCTGGAAGACCAGATGTCGACTAACACTGAGATCATGAGTCAATTGAAACTACACCACCATATATAA